CACCCACTGTCGGCGTGAGGCCGACGGACCGCCGTTAATTTCGAACACTGCATATCACTGCCATGCTTTGACTGATTATGATAAAATTTTATATACTCATTATACATCATGACATAGACATATTAGTTTGACTATCTGATTCAAAATGGTCAAATGGCAGTAATTTTTGTGCTAAAAAAACCATCAAAAATCAAGCATTTCTGGCATTCCAGAACTGGATCTTGGCGTTTATGTATGGATTTTGTTCAAACTTGGTACATACATTAGAGATTATAGGTTCCTGATGCACGTCATTTTATTTTTCAGATCGGATTAAAAATGGCTGACTGGTGGCCATTTTTTTTAAATGAATGCACTTCTAGAGCCATATCTCTGATATGCTTTGATTGATTATGTTCTAATTTTATATATTCGTTTTACATTATGTTATAATTATATAGATGTATTCAAAATGGCCGACTGGTGGCCATTTTGTTTTAATTAATGCTGTTCCAGAGCAATATTTTTCAATATGGACAAATACTCTTTTGATGATCAGATACAAGATGTCAATCATGTTAATGTTAAAAAATCATCAAAATCAAGCATCATCTTCTGGATCCATACTTCTGGCAGGTTTATGTTCCAACTATATTACTACAAACAAAACTATACATATATCTTAAATTTGATAACTAACAGGGACTGTGCCATGCATGGCTTGTTCTATAAAGTATTCAAACTGAATTACATTTACAAATACTTTGTCTAGTCACATGAACAGTGATTCGCCTATCCAATTTTATTAAAAGATTGAGATGAATAGGGGCCCGGTGTCCATTTCTGAAACACGCACAAGATAGAATGGAATCGTATGTGAAAAAATTGTATAGCTATTGTGTATGAGCCCACAATATAGAAATTTACATGGCTCTTAAAGTCAATCAGCAATTGTTTCATTTATCTTTTCTTGAATGACCAACTGTGTAAAAGCATTTCTATTCATGTCTATTCAACCCATTCTTTACAATCAATTGTTTAACAGTTCTCCCCTGCAGATGGAAATTTCCAGTTTGTTACAAATTTTTTATTGACCTATATTATGCATGTAGCAATACATGTCCATAACTTTTCAATTTGGGATCAGATATATACGATGACTTCCACCCATCTTGCTTTTTGTTCATATTGTTTTATCTTAGGCATTAATTAACAGTGACTTGTGATGATTTATTTTTTTTACTAGTCAGACAAAAAACTTCAACTATCGATAGTAATTAAAAGGCTTGTTAAAAAAATGTAGCAACCCCAAACAAAGATCTTATTTTTAATCAGATTGCATAACTATATACTTTTCTGATGTGTCTAACAGAGATGCAAATTAGCTATTAGAAATATATGTTTATATTGAACACAGTGTTGTGGAATGCAGATAGCAAGAATGTGATTTGTCTGAGCTTGGCGATAATACATTGCATATACCCGTTACTTGAAGTATGTGGTAAAAGAACAAATTTAATCTGAAAATAAAACTATCCCTAGAGAACTAAAATGAAAGTAAAATAAACTATTGGTGTTGATGTCGGTGGCAGATTTTGATATTTTGACTCATTTATGCAATTGGCATTTAGTTTGGTGCAGTAATCATATCTTGGGACAATTTTCACCTTATAGAGCGAGTTTACTTGAAAATTTATTTGTTTTTATTATTATATGTATATTCATTTAATGAATTGTCTAATTAACATATTTTGTATTATTAGTAATTGTATATTTATCAATCAGTCAGTTGGCTGATTACATATTATGTAATTGTTAATTGTACATTCATTAATGAATTGTCTAATTACAAATTATTCATTGTATATTCATCAATGAATAGTCTAATTACATGTATGTAGCTGATAATTGTTTATTTAATTATTAGTAACTATGATTTACTGTGATCACATTGGTTGATGCTATCCACTATCAATCCCCTTAATTCAATGCAAATTAGTCATTCCAATATTTCCAATATTATATATACACATGTACATGTGTGTATATATATATATATATATATATATATATATATATATATATATATATATATATTTTTTTTTTACTTAAAGATAATAAAGTTAACGAAAACACTAATTTTGATTTATTTGATATTGATTTGAGAGTACTTTTCTCTAGAACCCTGTCATGCATTTCAACAAAAGCAGCCCCTGATTAATTAAAGGCGGAATGGCCATAGTAAATAATTCACATGAAAAAAAAGACACAAACAGCACTGCTGTGTTATCCATTGTACAATAGTGAGTTAGTGAAATAGATCATTAATACTGCACAAAGTTCATTGATTAATTCAATATCTATCATTGGGATTGCACTTTGTAATCATGAACACCTTTATCTAAATGTACATTGTTTACACTTTTAATATACATTTTGTTTCCTGTTCTTCATCTGTTGAATGATTTAAGACTGATCTGCCACTTTTATTGGCTGGGAAAGCATATAAGAATTTGCTCGTGACTGTTTTACAGTGGAGTACCTACCAGGGTTGATTTCTTTTGAACATAAGCAGAAGTATATATAAACTGAAAATTGCAATAGTTGCATACTGAATCATTCTAATTGTATCTATTTCTCTAATTTATGCGAGATAATATGCTACTAAGAACAAATACAGTATAGCCTTTTTTTTGAATGAGCAACAACTGGTTAATACTATGTTGTTCTTTTTAGCTTTTTGATTCTCGTGTGCAAAGCACAAAAAGCGAGTCTTTGCAGTTAGTGTGTCTGTCTGTCTGTCTGTCTGTGTGTCTGTCTGTGTCTGTGTCTGTCTGTTTGTGTGTCTGTTTCACTGATATCTTAAGAACCATACATTGATTTTTGATGAAACTTGGTGCGTAGATGCTGTGGGCCAATGCGCAGATTTGATTAGGTTTTGGTAAAAATCCATGCATATTAATTATCTAATTTGCATGATAATTAAGTAATTTTTAGCTGTTCCATGATATTTCCACTGATATCTAAAGAACCACTCATTGGATTTTGATGAAACGTGGCACATAGATGCTCTGAACTAATGCGCAGATTTGATTAGTTTTGGGTAAAAATCTGTACAATATTAATTATTCAAAATAGTTCTTTGGCAGCGATTTTTTTTTGTAAATGTATACTGTTGCCATATCTCTGAACTCTGTCATGACTGATCATGTTCAAACTTGCTAAAAATGTGTGACATAATAATTAATATGCCATTGTATTGTTACTATTATTTGTAGTGGCAAGGACACCATGATGGTATTGTTACCTGTTGTAAGTTTTCAAATAATGGTAAATATGTGGTATCTGGATCGGATTTGGACTACGCATTGAATGTCTGGAATGCTAAAGATGGCTCTCTTATTCATCATAGAACAAGTAAGATTATAGTAGTTGTATTTAATATTACCTCTATTATAATACTGGTACATATGTCAGTGTATTATATTCATATTTTGTACTGTATGTGCCAACTAAAAAGAATGCATGTAAATTGCATCATACCTTATGCAAATTTTGAATAATGAATACCGGTAATTACCGGTAGTGTAATCGCATACGCTCACAATGTACACATGACAGGGGTGATGTGCTGTGTTTAATAGAGCATACAATATTTTCAAGACAAAAGCAGATAACCATATATTGTGACCACATCAACCTGCTCTATATTACTTTTAAATTTATTAGTTCAAATTGCTCCAAAACACTACAGACAAATACAGTAATACACAACTACAATAGAATACACATGTTGGGAAATTGAAGCTTAGGAGAGACCAGGAAATGCATATAAGTGACTGTACATCACCAAACCTCAAAATTTCACAAATAATGTACTAAATCTATTCACAATGTTTTGTACACTGGCAATCTTAATCAAGACAAGTACAATATTTAAATCGATAGACAACAAATTAGCAGACAAAAATCCAAGATAACAGTATCATGCGTGTCCGACTTTGCTCCTATACCTGACTTCACCCCCTCCCTCCTATTTTTGGGGCATTTTTTATTTTGTGGTTATGTCTTCCAAAATACCCCAAAAATTGACTGAAAATTTTAAAATTGCAATAACAATTATTTACGATTTTTTTTATTAATTTGATACACGCAGGCTAAATTATTTTCATTTATTGCTGAGTAATTATAAATTTACCACAGGCAAGGTTATACATGTTAAATTTATTTAATCCTTTCAGTTGACAATGTTGATATAAAGATTTTGTTAAAGAGGCAGATACTGGCAGACAGCTGTCTACTTGTTCAGTTGGATACCGTACTTTGTATTTTTTAAATCTGCAACCTATAAAAAAAGTGTCACATTTTGGCAGAGCCTACTTTCCAGATCTAGCCGCCTACTCCAGTACTTAGCGAAACCTCTGGGTGATACCTCTAATAAAAAAAAACCTTTTCATTGTTCACTCAAAAATGCTAGAATAATTTTCTGATTAATACAAAATACTACCGGAAGATATACATACATATAAGTGGCTTGAATTAATTGACAACTTAAAAACCATGCCATATGGCTTGGAACTGTAACACACTCAGAGCCATATGCCGGCCAGCAGCATTAAAAAAATAAAATATCATTCAAATTTCTATGAGTTTGCCATTAGTTGAGTTGAGTGGAACATATGTTTTAAAGATTCACTGTTTACAATAAAATATATACACAGCAAATAAATCTGTGTTAACAGAAGTGCCCCATGTGCTTTATTATAGATCCATACTTATATACTTACTGTACATGCACATTTATCGCATAGATATACTTTGTTAGAACAGCTGGTATACATGGAGCTGATTGTCCAAAATAAGAATAATTTTGCTTCTTGTCATGAAAAAAAAAGTAATATGATGATGTTTTTTTTGGTTTTATTTATTTTGCTTCTCATTGGGCTAAAAAAACATTCAATATGATGATGTTTTTTTTTATTTTTGTTTTCTTTATTTGCTTCTCGTTTGGCTAGAGACAAATTTAATATGATGATATTTTTTTTGGTTTTATGTATTTTGCTCATTATATTACATGTAATAAAAAAACATATCTGTCTCACTGGGTTGTTTTGGAATATATCTATAATAGTAGTTGTGACTAGTACACATCTAAATAAATTTTATCTTAAATTGTGTACATGTACTTATAGCTGCAATAAATGTTACTTTGTAAGGTACATATAGTTTGCTTGGAGTTTGTCTGTAGCCACATACTTGTTGCAATAAATATTACGATAGTAGCAAGGAGTTTGCTGCTAACTCATGTGAATTGGTTACTTGTAGCATATTTGCGGTAAATTTATGGTAATTACATGGATGCGATAACAATAATTGTTGGTATACATGTGTGATAAATGTATTTCCTTATTCAGTTGTACGTGGTGCATTTCACTGGTGCACCCCCAACCAACCGCACTCCCCCTACAAAAGTTATAGATTTCTCACTGACACATGCATGGATTTGAAGCAAAACTTGTTTTGGTGGGGATTCCTTTAAAGTACCTGGTTAATGATTTGCTTCAGTAAAAACAGAAAACATCAGCTTGTCAGGATTGGTTCGAATTTCCCTTCTAATAATACAGATATTTTGGTACATTTGATTCGGACTCAAGACATGCCAGTGATGCTCCAATACTCTTATATATACCGGGTATGTTAAAACATTGACTAGTGATGCTTATATTAATAAAGTCATGATATTCTGATTCAATCCCATCAGATCACCACAAGAGTACAATTGCTAGTTGTTCATTTTCACCAAATGATGAACGAGTATGTACTACATCTATGGATAAAACAACAAAAATTTGGGATACAATAAGTCATAATGTCACTGTTACTCTCAGGTAAGTTTATTTTGCTAATTTATTTTCACCTTCGCTGTCACTTTGATGAAGAAAAGGTATATGAGATGAAAATGACTATCCTTGTCATTGTTGTTGTCGTACAACTATTGTGGTTACAATAACTTAATTTGTTTTTATCATATCTTATCATACTTGGATATTTTAAGTTAAGCCTTCTACCTCCAAGAGCATGTCGAGCATGATTTTTTTCATTTCTCTATATAACCATTACCTAATTCACTTTAGAAATAAGCTCATTATTCGTTATATTATTAGTACTTAGTATTTTCTTGATATTTTCACTAAGAATATTTTTTTTATTTAGTTTTTATTCACAGTCTTAGCGAGAAGTTATTATTTAAATTTCATCTTTTTGGCCACATGATCATTATGCCTCAACTTGGCATATACATAATATGTGTTATAATGTGTTATAAAATATTTCTGTTCTGAGACATGTTCTATCATGTTCAATTACATGAAATTGCAAAACAACTCAGATTGATAGCTCATTCTTGTACAAAATAATTCAAGTGAAGCAACTACATGTAATTGGTGAAATATTAACAAAACAGATACTGCCATTAATGCATTTGTAAAACATTTCAGGTCCCACAAGAAAGCTTAATACATGTACTTTTAACATGTGTGCAAATATTTCAAATTATTAACATTTTTCATTTCACCAAATTGTGGTTTCTTATTACCCCTGGTACAAATTAATTTCATTGTATACAACACATCAGTAAACAACTCTCGCAAATTATTCCTCAAAAAATGCGGATACCAACAGCCGCCACACCTGAACCCTCCTGTTCAACAATTGTATTATCATTGTAGGCATATTTACTGATGGTAACAGATTATAATTAATTGATCACTTTCCCAACAGGAGTCACATTAACGTGATATCAACATGCTGTTTTAGTAAAGATGAGAGACGTCTTTGTACCGGATCCTGGGATAAACAATTACAAATGTGGGATATATCAACTGGCATGTTCAGATCTGAAGGACCAGTTACCTTAAACAAAGGACATGAAGGATCAATTAGTTCATGTCAGTTCAGTCAAGATGGTGAGTTCTCTTTATTATGACCCAGAGTTCTATCCAGAGTAGGAATCATACATAAATCAAAGAATCAGAGTAGATTGTGCTGTTAATAGGAGCAATAATTGTTCTTTTTATTAGAAACCAAAACAGTGTGAACCAGACTTGATTGATTTTTGATTATG